CCTGGGCTAACATGACTGGAGGAGGAATTCTGGGAGTTGAAGTCCACCAGTCTTAAAGCTTGCCAAGTTTGGGGACCTCTGAAGTAGATGATGGTTTGTTTGGCCTTATAATAAATGACTTCGAGGAGGGAATAGAAGGGGAACTCATCCAATTTGCAGATGACACTAAGCTGGCAGGAATAGCCAACACCCCAGAAGACAAGCTCAGGATCCAGAAAGATCTTGACAGACTTGAACAATGGGCCCTATCCACCAACATGACATTTAACGTGGAGAAAAGCAACGCTTTACACTTAGGCAAGAAAAATCAATTGCAGAGTTACAGATTAGGCGTGACTTCTGACCGGTTTTCACACTTCAGTGCAAATAAAGTGTCATAGATCTTAGAGAAGTTCAGTTGTTAACTTACAGGTAGTGACAGTTTATAATTCATTGGCTGGATCCCTTGCCTTATGAAATACATCCTTTATAGGTAGGTAGTCCTTGCTTAACAGCTGGTTTCTTAGCAAACCTTCAAAGTTACGACAGATTGCCAAAAAGGTACGAGTCGAATTGTTTAGCTTTAGCAGCTATCACAAAATGGGATACTAATACCGGGGACAGTCACATACTTCTAGGCTCCGTTACGGTTGTAAGATGAGGACTCCCTGGTGCTGGTAATTCAGATATTTTAAACACCATGGCCTAAGCAGAATACCGAATAACCGAGTTGGAAGGGATCTCGTAGGTCATCTAGTCCAACCCCCTACCCAAGCAGGAAACCTTGCACTATTTCTGAAGATGGCAGTCCATCTCTTCTTCAAAGCTTCCGGTTATGAAATACGTCATGGAAGAGGGCTTTTAGTAGAAAGACCAAACTTTACATGAATGCCAGCATCATCTCAATTTGGTAAATCTGGAATAAAACTAAGCAGGCTTAAAAACCACCTGGAAATGCCAGGACTGAAGAGGGAGGTCGAGAAAACATCCTGGAATAACACTATACTGAATTTCCTTTCCTAATGGATTTTTATTCCACCGCAAAAAAACAAACAAATCCACCCAGGGAGACAGAAATAGCCGTGGAAAAATAGAGCTGTAAATCCTTATTTTTTAAAATGCAGTTTCCTGACCTTTCTTACAACCTTACACATACACACACACACACACACACAAAAGCCAAGAAGTACAAATTAGCAAATTTTTCAAGGAAAGCTTCGGTTGCTAACAGGGTGGGATTCAAAAATTTTAACAGCGGGTTCTGTGGGTGTGGTTTAATTGGTGGACGTGGCTTGGTGGTCATGTTATTGGCTGGGCGTGGCCAACTCAATATCACTCACATTGAGGCATGCATCTCCTCGCCTGGCCTCTCGTGACTGTGGGGACGCTGCAAAATGGTGTGAAAAATGGTCATAAGTCACTTTTTTCAGTGCCATTGTAACTTTGAACGGTCACTCCACACAAGCAAAGTACCAGCAAAGGAGGGGGAAAAAATTCCAGAGAAATTCCTGAGACAAGAAATCTAGTCCTGCCAAGAATGTAATAGGGGTTAACGGAGAGGGAGTTTTTGTAAGCAACACCAGAATGTTTCCTTCCTGCCTTCCTTACAGGATTAGCCCAGTAATTTCTTCTAACAACCAGTTCTTCCAACTGCTTAGAATGTTAACAACCGGTTCTAGCGAATAGGTGCAAACTGGTAGAATCCCACCCCTGGTTGCTAACCACACAATGACTTGTGCGTTCTTTTGGCCCAACCTTTTTCGAACTCACATCATTGTTATAAGACTTTCCTCAGGTTGTTGCTATAATTATGACTTCTGATTTTCTGAAGCTTCCCAGCCCTGACCCATCAAAACTTACCTTCCAATTCCATTCTTGGCTTTTTCATCTTAGGACATCTCCATTGAATTCTTCAGGATGGGACGTCCAGCTATTTTCACCCTCTGAAAAAAAAAACCCCAAGAATTGTTTTCCCAGAGGAATTAACCAGATGCTCAAAATTGGCAGCCTGTTTTTAATTTAATTTTTTGTTTTAGAGGCTGAATTCAGGGTGCTGTTTGCGCTGGAGTTAGCTTTGGAAGAAAGGACAACTTGCTTAAAGGCGTCCAATTCTGAAAGTGAACTGGGAAGAGGAGAGGTGGGGAATTATACCTCAGCAGGTAACTTACTCATAGCAACCACCCTAACTCACCTTTTGGTGAACTCTGAGGTTGTTTACTTGTTGGGCTTGTCCTGAAAAATGCCTCTGTATGCTCTGAAAATCCACACCTAACTCCGTAGTTGCCAGCAGGGAAGTTAATTCAAAATTCACAGGTGCCCAGGTGAGAGAAAGCAGCGTCGCCCCAGGTTGCAGGACAGAAGGATGGCAGTGCCAAGTGGTGCAACTCTTGTATTGTATGAGAAGTACATCCTACGCGATAGGCGATAAATTTCAGAAGTTAAAAGGAGGAAGTAATGAATCACACCACAAAAGAGCTGGTTGAAAGGAATGCAGGCAGCCACTGAATGCCAAGGTGCAATTGGCTGGTGACTTTTCAGATTTAGACATAACAGAGTTGGAAGGGAGGGACCTTGTAGGTCATCTAGTCCAACCCCTGCTTGGGCAAGAGAGTATTTCAAATATTAGCCTCTACCTAGAATTGAACTCACAGCCTCCTGATTGTAAGGAGAGAACTCCACCTCTAGGCCATTGCACTGGACTGTCTAGCTTCTACCACTGCACCTTAGAGAATATCTTAACATTGCACCTGTGTATGATTTGCCAATTGCACAGTGGCAGTTAGGACAGCACTCCAGAGGGTTAATGCCATTGCTCAGAAGATCATTGGTTGCCCTCTCTCTTCTTTGGAAGAGCTTTATAGCTCCCACTGCCTTAAGAAAGTTCAAAACATCCTCAAAGATCCATCTCATCTTAGGAACACTTTTTTTTTTTAACCATCTGGCAGATGGTACAGGACAATAATAAAAACAAGCACAAACAGGCTGAAAAACAGCTTCTATCCCTGGAAAGTAGCTGTATTGAATTCTGCTATGTAGTGCAATATTAATGCAATATCAGGGGTTTTCAATTCAATATATAGAAGGCGAAGGAGTTGTGTTTGTGTTTTATTTTTATGTATGAGGTACACTGAAGATGGCATTTAATTTTGTTGTACGAGATGCAAGGACAATGAAGTAAAGTAAACTCAAGAAGAGATTGTTTTGCCTGCCTGGAGGGCCAGTCCGTTCAGAGCTGAAAAGGGGTAATGACAGATTTGCTGGTTTGTTTATGATGCATGGACAGGCAGTTCTCGACTTACAACAATTTGCTTAGTGACGGTTCAAACCAGAGGTGGTTATTCAGCCGGTTCTGACCAGTTCTGGAGAACCAGTAGCAGAAATTTTGAGTAGTTTGGAGAATCAGCAAATCCTACCTCTGACTGGCCCCACCCCCATCTATTCTCCGCCTCCCGAGTCCCAGCTGATTGGCTGGGTCTCCTTTGGTTGCCCTGCACAGGAGAACGGAGCTGGAAAGCAGGTTACGGGGTGGGGAGGGAATGGGGATGTTATTTATTTATTTAATTTATATTGTCGTCTATTTGCCCATGGCGACTCGAGGCGGCTTGCACAATGTAATACCATATTTAGAACAAAAAAATAAAAACAATAAAACTAACAAAAAGAATAAAATAAATTAGTAAAGTACACTGGAACAAAATTTGGGAAAACGAAAAACAAAACAAAACAAAATCAAAAATCAACTCCTACCCCCACTCCCCGATGACAGCAGATCCCATTAGCCACCTGATGGGCTCATATTATTTTATATATTATTTTATATATTATATATTATTTGGGCTCAATTGTGGTTGTAAGTCGAGGATTACCTGTATACAGGTAGCCCTCAATGTACAACCGTTCCTTTAGTGACCGTCTGAAGTTACAACAGCACTGAAAAAAAAAACATGGATTATGACTGATCCTCGTATTTATGACCGTCACAGAATCCCCATGGTCCCCTGATCAGAATTTTGGTGTTTGGCAACTGACATGTGTTTAAGGTGGTTAACGATGACGACTTTCCCAGGGAGTTGGGGAGAGCTAATAGCTTGGGCAATTACCCAAAGAAAACAGTGCCTCTGACCATGTGCAGAATGTTTTCCTTGCATGGAAAAAAAAAACTTTCATCAACCTTCGAACTACTGCAGAATATTCGCAGATTTCAACCGGGACCAATGTATTTGGTGATAAACCATTTAGTGGAGGGGTCTTCAAACTTGACAGCTTTAAGACTTGTGGACTTCAACTCCCAGAATTCCTCTTCCAGTCATGTTAGCTCAGGAATTCTGGGAGTTGAAGTCTAAAAGTCTTAAACTTGCCAAGTTCGAAGACCCTTGATTTAGTGTAACTAGAACCGTACATTTCTTTAATTGTTGCACTTATCTTTTTTATTATTATTATCATTATCAAGGACTGTCTTTTCGTTTTCAAATGCTACTTGAATGCCAATATTGAAATAATTCAAATATTATGCCACAAAGAGGCGCTAATGCCAAGTAAGGGCAAGGAAAGGAGTTTCATTTCTCGCTACTGAGCATGCCCGAAAATACGCACACGCGCATTCTCAGCCAGTCAGGTCCTTTCGGCCATCTTGAGCCGGCGGGAGTCACGTGACGCGATTAAATATGGCGCCCTCGGTGCTGGTGAGTAGTTTATAGTGAGATTTCTTTTTCTTTTTTTTTTTGCTTTTCGTGGCAAACCGATTTCAGCAGAAATAGACCGGATTCGAACTCGATACTTCGGTTTTCGACGAAGGGCAATGAAGGTTTTATGAGCGAAATGACCCCCAAAGCTGTCAAACCTCTCCTTTAGCTCCCCTCCCGCCTTGTTCACAGATATTTTGCATTATTAGATATTTATTTTGCCCTTATTTATGTATCTGTGCATGTGTGTTGCCTCAGAACTCAAGCCTCCCGAGTGCATGGAGCTGCACATCTATTCCCTGAATTCGGGGGGCGGGGGGGGGGGACACGTTTACCTTTGCAAAAGAGCTTTGCCTCTTGAAAATACAGGTAGTCCTCGACATACGACCACAATCGAGCCCCCAATTTCTGTTGCTGAGTAAGACCGTTGTTAAGTGGATTTCTCTGTTGCACAGGTGAATCACTGCAGTTGTTAAGGTTACTAACTCGGTCATTAAGTGGATTGGGCTTCCCCATTGATTTTGCTTGTTGGAAGGTCCACAAAAGGGGATCGATCACTTGACCCTGAGGACACGGCTACCCTCATAAATAGGAGTCGGTTGCCAAGTGTCTTGAATTTGCGTCACGGGACCATAAGGATACCTCAATGGCCATAAGTGTGGAAAATGGTCCCAACCAGTGGTGGGATTCAAAAAATTTTACTACTGGTTTGGTGGGCATGGCTTGGTGGGCATGGCAGGGGAAGGATACTGCAAAATCCCCCTTCCCTCCCCACCCCACTAACCTGCTTTCCAGCTCCATTCTCCTGTGCAGGGCAATAAAAGGAGAGACCCTTTTCAGCTGGGACTGGGGAGGCAGAGAAGAGATGTGGGGGTGTGTGGATTTAGAGCTACAAAACAAATCTGCTACTGGTTCTACGAACTACTCAAAATTTCTTCTACCGGTTCTCCGAACTACTCAAAATTTCCACTACTAGTCCAGTACTGGTCAGAACCTGCTGAATACCACCTCTGGTCCGAACTTGCTTTCTTCAGATCTGAAACTTCTTGGATGAGAAACAACGTTTTTAAAGAAAAAACAAAGTCTAGTTTAGTTGCCTTTAGAAAAAAGTACTTTTGGGACAACCGTGACCTGGATTGACTGAGAATGTCCATAGACATTTACTTGCTGTGTAGCTAAAAATGCTGACCAGCTGGTGGTGCTGTTAATTCGAGGAAAATTCACTGTCAAAGCCAAGGGCAGCGTTTGCCTGAAACCAGGCAGGGTTGGGTCCGATTTGTAGTTGGGCTGTGTCCTTTATCCTCAAGCACAAAACCCTCCTGTTGCAGGATACAGGTAGTCCTTGACTTTCAACCACAATTGTGACTGAGACTTCCATCCCAAGTGATGCAGTTGTTCAGTCTCACGTATGACTGTGACCAATATTACAACTGTTTTTGAGGGATCCTCTGAGCTTCCTTGTTTTCTTGCAGACATTTTGTATCTAGCATCCCTGCCCATGTTGGTGGGAGTGTTCTTGGGGGTTCCTTGATGATAAAATAAGAGGAAATCCCACTCACGTCTAGCACTGATGATGTTACCTAGTTTGGTAAAGGAACGTCTGCAAGAAAACAAGCAAGCCCAGAGAACCAAGGAGCACACAGTCCTCCTCCTCCTCCTCCTCCTCCTTCAAACCCCACTCCCTTCTAGCACTGATGATGTTACCTAGTTGGGTCATGAAATGTCTGCAAGAAAACAAGCAAGCACCAAGGATCCCTCATTTCAACCCTGAGCTACAAATATTCTCCCACTCCCAAAAACTATTTTTGCTGTGGCCGTTAACCGAATCGCCCATCCTTTAAGCAAATCATACCGTGGTTAAGTGAATCTGCCTCCCCCCCATTGACCCCCCCCAATTGAGCTTGCCTGGCAACTGGCATGTACTTACGACAGTTGCTCCGTCCTGGGAGCATGGAATTTCCCCATTCGCGACCTTCCCAGCTGGCTTCCAACCAGCAAAGTCAATGAATTCTCTTAAGGACTGCCTGATTCACTCAACGGCAGCGATATGCTTAATCGCAGGCGCAAAAATGGTTGTAAAATCAGACACAACTCACCGAAGAGCTGCTTGGCTTAGCAATGGAAATTGTGGTTCCCAACTTTGGTCGTAAGTCGAGGACAACCTGTAACGAGGTTTAGCGACCCGCAGGAGGTGTGACTTGAGAAAACCTAACCAACTTTCCTGCCACTTCTTAGCTCAAGCCAGAAGAGTTTCCTTCTTTGTAGAAAATATTGCCTCGGCTTCATTCTCTCTCCAGCTCCGGCACAGAAAACTTTTGACCTCCTTATACTCTCGGTTCAGCAGCACTTCCGAAGGTCTTTCTTCAAATCCCTGGAAAAATAGAATATTTCAGTATCTCTCCAACCGCTTCCACGACATTGAAACCATTGTTGAAATCAGCCAGAAGTTTAAGAGATGGAAAATGGAGAAAGGAAACAAGTAGGTGTATCTGGGAAGAGAGGGGAACTGTAAGAATCGCCCTGTAATTCTTGCTGTAATAATAGATTCCTGCATTGGACAGAGATGGAGTAGATTCCAGCATGGTGGCTAGGGAACTCTGGGAATTGAAGTCCATGCTGGCTGGGGAATTCTGGGAATTGAAGTCCTTGCATCTTTGACTGGGGAACTCTGGGAAT